TTTTTACAGTATTTCCTATAAATTTTTCTTCTTCTGGAGAAAGGCATATTTGTTTTATTCCAGCTAGAATAAAAGCAGGTTTGAATATTTTGAAACCTATAATAGCTCGATATTATTAGCCCCTTTAAGCAATATATATGTTTGATTGTGTGCAGAAGAAACTACTGTTATACAATGACTTATCTATTTACCCAAATTAAGCCTTTGAATGTCGCTGAATACTAGTATCTTGAAGAATATCTATAAATATAATGTGTAAAATATAATGTGCTGTCATTATAGCAAAGATAAAAGTAATCAGTTTTTAGAAATGAGTTAATAAATCTGTTATGTTTAAACTGTGCTTTAAGCATCTTCACTGTATTTTTGATTTTATTATTGATTAATAATAAAAACAGTCGGCAGCAGCAGGAATATCGCGCGCTGTCTCTTTAAGAATAGTGCGGCTCTGAGTATGAAATGGTTTCTCTTTCACGTGTCTTTTGATTCTCAACTTGTTAGTTTATTACACAAATGGGGGTTAATATGAATAATCAATAAACACCGCGCTCTGACACAACTGTGCATGTATTTGACCATTACAGCGCTCACATTAAGATCGCGTTAGATGTGTGTGTACACACGCTACCTGTCCGAGGCCAGACACGGCGCACGCACACACAACAGCACGTGCTCTTTTGCGCTTTTAAAAATATGAATGATGCGCATCCCGTGCTGCAAAAGTTACATTACAGCACACGCTTTTAGTCATTTTCACATGGAACTGAGTTTTGCAGAGGCAAAGAGTTTTCACACGTGTACAACTGGAAAGGGGGCGGTACGTGATGGAATAATCGTTTGTCTCGATTAATGATTTTTCATAATAGTTGAAAGCCAAAATCGAAATCGGATTTTCGATTAATTGCACAGCCCTAATATATATATATATATATATATATATATATATATATTGTTCAATCATTTTTGTTTAACTGTTTAATTTATTTCAAATGATAGCAAGTCCATACACTCACACAGATTTATTCGAAACTTCATTCAAAAAGTGCTAATTAATTTCACAAGTACCTTCAGAGAAAGAGCCAGTACAAATATATCATGAATGATTCTTTTTTATTTAGAATTAATTGTCAAACTTTGTCATTCTAACACGAAATGATGCTTTTTTTTTTTACTAAATACAAAACGTTTGACGACTGATTTAATGAATGATTGAATGAATGACTGAAGAGCAAACGGGACAGTAAAATGTGACTAATCCTTCACCTTCTTGTCGTTGACTCGCAGTTCAAAGACGCCGGGATGTTCGAAACCGTCTGGCAAGTGAAATACTACAACTACTACAAGAGAGAGCACTGCAACTTCGGCAACAGCTTCAACTGCATCGAGTACGAGGCCAAACCCAACGAGACCCGCAGCCTCATGTGGATAAACAAAGAGGTCTTCCAGTAAAACACCAGCACCAGCGAAAACACCCCGAATAACCATCGCTGTGTGTGAGACCGACAGCATCAGTCAAAGAAACTGAATATTACAAGCTCCACACAAGCGATCCGTCAGGGTATCAATTCACAAACTCAAGCAATGCGTCTATTCGTTCAACCACAGGTCATGCATGATATACAAACATTTATTTATGGCTCTTTGAAAATAATAACAAGGGAACAAAATGGAGATATGTGTGAACGTTTGGGTGAATATCTTCATGGGGATGGCGTTTTAATCTTTTGGCTGTATACCTGATCGATTATGGTTACAAAAACGAAACTCGGATGAGAAAACAGCTTGTGTTTAACTCTGTGATTTTCTGTTTTAGAGACGGGCAGTGCAATGCTTGCTCAAAGCTTGCTCGATGCTTGCTCAAAAAAAGGTGCTGTATGAACGTACACAGGCTCTACGTGGCAATCTACATTAGTATTTATGATATACTATTATAAAAGGCAGGTGGGTTAATATTGAGCGATTATTTATTTGTGAAAGGTGCGTTTCTGTATGGTGTGAATGGATGTTTGTTGATTTCCCATTGTGTGTTGGTGTTGTAGCTATATTTATTAAACTGCTGCCTATTTCTTCACAGAAGCATTAGTTCACTGGAATGAAGTTAGTTCTGGTTTTTTTTTTTATGTTTAATTTAATTCTCTGCCTATTTTGAATCTTGTATTGGTTGTTTGTTTGCTCGTGCGGTGCCTATGTGTGATTTTTCTGTGACTTTGAGCCAAACTTTTGACTTTTTGTAAGAATATAAATGACCTCGTTGATTGATGTTCTGTTCTGTTTTAATAAATACACTGCAGTTATATAAATACACCACCGGTTAATAAAAGACAACAAGAAAGAAGAATGAAATCTGCAATAAATAATGTGGTGGTTATTTTAAAGCAAGCGTATTGGTTTAATAACTATAACTAGATCATAATATATAAAATCCATCATGTGAAGCTATTTTGTGAAGTAATATGATGCAAGCTAATCGAATATTTTTAGATTTTTATTTATACACAATTTATTCTGCAATATTTCATATTTTATAATATAGTTTTATAGCTATTGATATATATATATATATATATATATATATATAAACATACAGTGTATACTTGCTGTGCCACCAAGTATTAGGTGCTTTTGGCTTGAGGGATCAAATACTTATTTCCCTCAATGAAATACTACAAATCAATTAATATATATTCTTTAAAGTTATTTTCTGGATTTTCTTTTTGATATTCTGTCCATGTTAGAATACATCGACCATTAAAAGTACAGAATGATCAGGTCTTTATTAGTGGGCAAAACAACAAAAGCAGCAAGGGATCGAATACTTTTTACTCTCACTGTATATATATATATATATATATATATATATATATATATATATATATATATATATATATATATATATATATATATATATTATAATATATATATAATCAGTTATTAGAAATAAATTATTGTTCAAACGATTATGTTTACAAATGTGTTGAAACAATCGTTTTTCCATTAAACAGAATTTTTGGAAAAAATAAACAAGGGGCCTCATTATGCAGGGGGGCTGATAATTCTGAATCAACTGCAAACATTTGTGTAGCCTTTACCCAAAGTGAGAATAGAAAATAAGGCAAAATTAAAAAAAATAAATAAATAAAAATGTTATGAACAAAAGGTTTTATAGTAATAAAAATGTAGATTTCAAGACATTTTTAAAAAACAGAATAGATAAAAGATGTTACATACGACATCATTTTTTTCAGCAGTAACAATGCAAATATTTGTGCTAGCCATCGTACATTAAGGATAGAAAATAAGGCGAAATAGAAAAATATAAAAATGTTGAAGAAAATAAATGTTTTATAGTAATAAATATGTACATTTCAATACATTTAAAAAATAAATAAATAGATAACAGATATATATATATATATATATATATATATATATATATATATATATAAGAACTATAGATCTAGGGCACAAAACACTGTAAATATATATTGTAAATAAATACTTTAGCTATATTAATAAACAACTATTTACAGTTAAAGTCAGAATTATTAGACCCCCTGAATTATTAACCCCCCTGTTTATTTTTCCCCCAATTTTTTGTTTAACAGAGAGAAGATTTTTTCAGCACATTTCTAATTATAATAGTTTTAATAACTCATCTCTAATCACTGATTTATTATATCTTTGTCATGATGACAATACATAATATTTGACTAGATATTCTTCAAGACACTTCTATACAGCTTAAAGAGACATTTAAAGGCTTAACTAGGTTAATTAGGTTAACTAGGCAGGTTAGGATAATTAGGCAAGTTATTGTATAATGATGGTTTGTTCTGTAGACTATCTGGAAAAATAAAAAATATAGCTTAAAGGGGCTAATAATTTTGACCTTAAAATAAAAATTTATATATATATATATATATATATATGTAAATGTATAAAACTCAAGACAAAAAAAGTTAAAACAGAATAGATAAAAAGTCATACATGTGTTGTTGCCTTGCCTCATAACTACTTTCTAATAAAACTAAAGAAATCTACTTTAAAATATTGCATTAAATATATCCGGCTAACTCATTTTTTTCCAAATATGTTGATAGTCCGAGTAGTTGTACACTTTGTGCTAAGGATGATGAAACTTTAATACATTTATTTTGTATGTGTGAATTCATTCAGAAATTTTGGTTTGACCTGTATCATTATTTGAATACCCCTCCTACCTTTGCACAATCTTTTAGTTTAAAAGAAATTATTTGTTATTACTCAGAATCTTCACATAAATCTAAAGAATTTATCTTCAACTTTTTTTATCTTGTTTGGAATTTTTTTATATATATAAACAAAAATGCATGGCTTTAGTACCTGCTTCTCGACATTTTCTGATTAAAGTTAACTCACTGCTCAAATCTTTCCGTATGTTTAACAACAAAAACATGTGTCAGATTCTTGGTTCTATATGAAGAGCTGTCGTCTGTTGAGTTTGATAGCTTTCCTTTAATGGTCTTAATTTATTTATTTTCATACACATTTATACAATTGTAATTTACTTACCCCATTTTTGTTTTGTTATTCTTTTTTCTTTCTGCAGCTGAAGTAATTAGTGTTTTTCCTCTTTTGCATCTCTCTTATATTGATCTCCTGATTGTGGATGTGTACATTGAATTAAAAATACCATAGTGCTTACAGTGAGGGGAGAAAATAAGATGAAAGTGCCCGGATGTGCGGTTCTAACGCCCCTCCCCCTCCAGTCAGTCTCGCTCCCTCCCTCCGGTTCTCTCTCCGCCACCGACACACCAACTCAACCCTCTGCCTCTTCTCTTCCCCTTCCACAGCGGACCTACCGAATCCACCGCAGTCAACCCGTTATCCGTCGACCGAAATAACGGACAAGAAACCCCGAGCGCAGCTTCCTCGCTCAGAAAAACCAACCGTCACCGCGAGCGCGCGCACAGAGCCGTCAGATTCTGCACAAGGCGAGGACTTAACCCGGCCACACAATGGTAAGAATCAATCTCATTCGCTTCCGAAGTATTAAATATCACACACTATCCGCTTTTTGGATCGATATGTCGGTTCTCTGGTGCCGTGACAGACTGCAAACGCGCTCGCGGTGTCGTGATCAAAGCCGCTGTTGATAAAACAGAGCCATTGCTGTCAGTTTGTGGCCCACGTTCAGCCTCGGTTGCGCTGTGAACACTGAAACACACAAGGAAAACAGCGATTTATTTCAGATTTCAGTCTAGATACTGTATTTGTGGGTGAATGTGATGGCGTGGCTGCTTGAAAAGAAACACTGCTGCTCAATCGATACCGCTGTCAGGCTGATCGAGAGCTGGTTTGCCTGTGAAATAGATTGCTTGACAACTTGAATCGACTGGTTGGTTCTCTGGAAAAGATTGAGTTTGCTGGGCCATTAATTTTAAGATAGGAATTACTTTTTTAGCAGTCCAATAGAATGATTTAGAAATTCTGTCATCATTTAGAGCAGGGGTGCCCAAAGTTTTTCTTATAAAGGGCCAAAAAGCAAACCTGATTGAGGATTGTGTGCCCAATGTACAGTATAGCAAATGGGCATGGGACGATAACCGTTTTCACGGTTTACCAAGGTTTTTAAACCGCCTTCATTTTCCTATGGCATGTTTGATTTTTTTATTTATTTGTTTTTGGTTTTTTTTTTTTAGGACAACAGTATCTTTAGCAGAAAAGATACATAAAAAATGCCATTTTAAATCTGATATCTGTGTTTTTGAAAGGAATGAAGACAGCAAAAGTCAATGATTAATTTGAATTATTCAGCCTGACATGTTTACTGTTCCAAAATATTTTAAATGTTTCCGAAACTAAATTATATTGTGTTTAAAAAAGGGAAAACGTTTTTGTTTTTTTACCCTGACATTAAAAAAGAGCATATATTACAGTGGAATTCACAATATCGTCAAACCATGAAACCGTGATATTTTTATTCAAGGTTATCATACTGTCAGAATCTAATACCGGCCCATGCTTAATAGCAAACTGTTTTACAATTAATTTGCCTGGGGGAATCTGCTAATTTGTTCAATAATACAAAAAAATAAAAACTAGAAAATGTTTTAAATCATATTAACTAACCCAGTATCATCTTTAACATGTTATGATGAACTTACGAATGAACTGTTACCCTAAAAACATAAACGGAAACATTTATAACGCAATAGAGTTCAATGCTGAATATGCTAGTCCTCTGTCAAGTGACTGTTTACAGTTTTAAAGTCTAATTCATTTACAAAATTTTATTTAACAATTTAATCTCAGTTTTTTTGTAGCTCAGCAATAAAACAAAGAAACCAAAGTTTACATTGAATTCGAAATGACGATCTCTATTAAAGGCATTCGCCCAAACCACCTCCCCATAACTTTTTAGATGGGACGGTGGGCCAAAGCAAAGGTTACCATGGGCCAACTTCGGCCTGGAAGCCCTACTTTGGGCATCTCTGATTTAGACTCTCTTTACAAATTCTAATTTCATTTGTCACATAGTCATACACCTTAAATAATAATAATAAATTGAGGTAAAGTTGGTTTTATATTCACACATTCATTCATTTTTGGACAGTGACAAATTGTCACATGATGCATGTACTTTAAATATTCAGTCTGAAATGGCATGTATTATGACTTCAAATCAACATTAGGACTATTTAATTTACTGAACAGTGTTTTACATTGATAGTCGTTGGCTGCAAATATTATTTTTCAATTTAGAATTTGCAAAGAATGCTTTTCTGAAAATATATTACCTAAGAAGAAAGTCTAAATGTGTGGAGATAAAACCAACTTTACCTTAATTTATAATAATAATTAGGGCTGGGCGATCAGTATTGATATTTATTGTACTGAACACCATTGTCAGTATCAATAAAAAAAGTTTTGTCGATATTGACAGAATATCAATATCTTTTGTTTTTGACTTTAAACTATTTGCCTAAGTAAATATATTTTTTTTTTGACTATAATATTTTTTGCTTTTGACTATAAAACTATTTGCGTTAGTAAATATTTTTTTGTTTTTGACTAATATTTTTGTTTTTGGCAATTAAGACTATTTGCGTTAGTAAATATATATTTGTTTTTGATTATAGTATTTTTGTTTTTGACTATTAAATCTATTGGCCTTAGTAATGTTGGTAAATTGTTATAAAGTGGTTAAATAAATTTGAAAAAATCCTAATATTCCTAAATGGATTGTTAACAAATATTTAATAATTATCGATATATAATGATTGGAAACATGATATCGTGATAATTTGTTTTGCAATATCACCCAGCCTTAATAATAATAAAAATAGAATCTAAATTATGGAGAAATAGATGTTCTCGTTCTGCAATAGAAAATAAAGCAAACACAAAGTATTTCAAGAATTTCGAGGTATAGTATGTGGCTGTAGTACAAAGTACAAACAAAGTATAAAAAGGTGTAAAAGAGCTATCTATATAGAAACGTAGAAGTGTTTCTTACAAAAAGTGCAAATCGATGCAAGTATTGTGGTTTCGCAAATTGCAATATCAATGCTGAAACAATACATTGTGCATTCTAAAACCAGTCATACGTGGCAATCAGAAATTAAAATTTATGAATCACATGAAAGCTGAGTTAATAAGTTTTCTAATACAATTTTTTGACAAAGATACAGCTTTGAATAGATATTTCTGAGTTGATAAATTTGTGAGCTTTTCTGATATAATTTTGATTAAACAGATTTGTGTAATTTTACAGTAGATTATGATGTATGTTAAAAATCTGTATTTGAAGATTTTAGTTGGGATCCATGATATATTGGTGCCCAAGTCAATATAGATAAGTGCTATTTTTAATGTTATCATTATTGGTAACTAAATTAATTAGCCCGATATCTTTAAGCCGTTAAAATTCTGTATTTTTCCACCGGTTAAACTACCTCACAGGCCTGCCGTTTTCTACCTGTTTGGTTGATGTTCATTGACTTGGTAGCTTTATTTCTGCATTTTTATTTTAGGCAGCATTTTATTTATAGAAAACAAAGTTGGCCAAAAAGAATAGTTTGTTTATAAAGTTTTGGCATCAGTTTACGCTTTCTTGGAGTTGGTTTTAAAATAATATCAGTTGTTCACTGTATGCACTTGCCTTTTGTTTTTGCAATCATGCAGAAAAATTTAAGCAGTAATAAATGTGTTTATCGACTGATATCAGCTATCAGTCTCCAAATCTAAAGTTAGAAGTTATTGGTATTGATAAAAATTCCATCTTTTTTTTAGTCTGAATTTAAAATAATTTGATAGCTGATTAATAACATAGCTCATAAAATCACATCTTTCTAGGGAAGTGTAATGTTTAAAAGAAGTATCGCTATCGCAATACTCAATAACAGTAGTGTGCAGCACTAGCGTGAATGGCAACTGCGCATACAGTTGCAAAAAAGACCAGTTGCAATAGCAAACATGTCGTGTTGTGCGGTAGGATGCCAAATTCAGAAGTCCAAATATAGACAACTTAAATTTTACCATACACCACACTGTTTTTTTTTTTTTTTTTTGCATTTACAATTTAAAGCATTACATTACCCCTATCCTATCACAACTGCAACATTGAAAAAAAAGAAAAAGGAAAAAAAACATAAAAATAACATTTTTTATCATTCCAGAGTTGATGGTGAGAAAACAGAGTGTACCATATTAGTTCAGTCCATATGTTATCATCTAACATGAGAGGCTTGGCAACATCCAAAAGAAGGAATATACAGAAGAGGTGCATCTTAACACAAAAGATAAATTATTAATAATAATAGTAATAATAATAATAATAATAATAATAATAAAATAAAAAAATAATTAACAATAATTATAATAAAAAGCAAAACAGTCATCTCTTCTTGAATCCACCACACTGCTTTTAATGCCATCCGCAGACGTCTTTGGCTAACAGCCATCATAAGAGCTGAATGGAGTGAGGACCTAATTAAAAATGCTCACTTCTACGTTAGTTTTACCGAATTACTGCCTATCACTGGGTGACAAGCTGTTATAACACGCTGAAAGCATTATATAATAATATATATAATATGTAATCAATATAACATATCTCTAACACAACAACAAACTCTGTACCGCGTCTGATGTCATTCCCTCGAATTTTTTTATTTAATCTTTTAAATAAATCGTGTAACCAGTTAGTGGAATTTGATTGTTTGCGCTGCCTTTAAAAAACATTCACAACAAAAGATAAGGGAAATTGATATTTATTTTGCTATCATAACTATTTTCGTGGATTGTTGCATGTTCAGCTTTTTGGCCTGCTTTTTGAGAGAATTGGATTCATTTATCGGGTAGCAACTCTGTTATATGTGTACTAATTTGTATGCTTTAAAAGGATAGACACCCAGAAATGAATGCTGTCATCATTTACTCATCCTGCTTATGTTTTTTTTACTTGTTTTGGAAAAACCACCATTGACTTCCATAGTATTTTTTTGTCCCGTTATTGATGTCAGTGGCTGATTTTTAGGACATTCTTTAGAATATGTTTTTTTTTGTGTGAACTGCCCCTTTAAGCATTAAATTTAGCTTGGGTTTACACTGAATTGTTATCATGGGCAGTGTGGATGATACAATACAGATAGATGTATAGTTAACGACAGAAAACGCGGAATAAACAACAGTAAAAGTTGCTTGTGGTAATGAATAGGGGTAGAACGATATTACAAAGCGAACCGAAATATCACGATACCAACCACAATGCGTATCGCAAAACTCTCGTGGTACTCCTACGCCCCCTGCTGCCCATTGTTGTTGACGTCACTTGTCTCTAACTAATTAAACCAATTTAAATGCATCTGTATTTTATTACATTTGATTAAATTGTATAAGTAATGATGAGCTTTTGTTCTAAATATTATATTTTAAAGCTAGTATTTTTCAAGTGCATGTCATGTCATGTGACTTGAGTGAGCGGTTACTGTATACGCAAGATGGCTGCTTCGCATAT